TTTCTGTATCTTTTGAGGGTTGGGTGGTGCAATGTGTATATATTCGTTTGGAAAGGGTTTTAACGGTGTTTATCTTGTGACTGATGGGGCAATAAGAGGAATAATGTATATAATCTGGAGTGGAATTTGGCTTGTGGTATATTTCTGTTGTGTATTGGTTTTGCGTTTTTAGTATAAGTACATCTAAAAATGGTAAGGTGTTATTGTTTTCTGTTTCTATGGTGAAATCTATGTCAGTATGTATGGACTTTAGTTGGGTAAAAATGGAGTCTATTTGTTAGATTTGGATATACAAAAGATGTCGTCTATGTATCTCTGCCAGATGATGATTTCTGTGGGAAACAGGTTGGTTATTGTTTTATCTATTTTTCTCATGACTATTTCTGCCAAAGGTGATGAGAGAGGACTTCCCATGGGGGAGCCCTTGGTTTGTTTATAAAATTGGCTATTGAAGGAAAATATATTGTGTTGTAGGCTGAGCTTAATTAATGAAATAATTTTAGAGGAGGTATCTGGAGGAATATTATTTAATGCTAAAATTTCTATTGTGTTATCTATTATTAGATGGTGTGGTAAGCTTGGGTACATATTAACTACGTCAAAAGAAATCATGGTGCTGTTAGGAGAGGGGGGGAGGCTGTGTATATTTTCTATAAATTTTGGTATGGATGTGATGGATGTGGTGGTAGGATTGTCTTTTAGAATGGGGATAAGGAAGTTTGCTAGAAATTTGGCTAATGGGGCTATAGGAGACATATGATATGCTATGATAGGGCGAATAGGAATACCTGGTTTATGGGTCTTGGGTTGGCCGTAGATATAAGCGGTACTTTTTATGTTTCCTAGGAATAATTTCAAGTCTTCTGCAGTAATAGTATTGCCTCTGTATAACTTCCTTAGATCTTTTGTATATTGGGCAGATGATTGAGATTTTTCATTGGTGGTTATAGGTTTGAATACTATGGAGTTGTTTAGGATTTCATTCATTTTTGATATATAATCTAGAGTGTTCATAATAACTGTTTGGGAACCTTTATCTGCTTTTGTAATTACAATTTCTTTCTTACTTCTTAGTGAATTGGCTATATGTTGATTATTGGGCTTAAAGATAGGCGTTCTTGATGATTCTTCTAAGGAGGGTAGTAACTAAGTTTCTGATTTTTGATTGTTCATTATGTGTTAGGGTAGTTATGGCCGATTCGACTCCTGCAATGATTTTATAATGATCTGTTTTCGTGGGGAATCTATGTTTGGTGCCCTTTGATAAATAGTCAATTTCATCAGTTGAGAGATCATAGCTGGATAAATTGAGAATATTAGGCTGGTTTTCAGGTGGTATGAGTTGGGTGTTGTATTTTCTTGACCAGAATTGAAGTTTCTTTTGGTGTTTCCTCTCTATGGCGGAGTTTAAGGTTTTGATTTCTTTAGTGGTGCTGATGATAAGCTGTAGCATTTCTGTTGGGGGGATTCTTTGAGATACGATACTTATTAGATCAGAACATATTATGAAAGCAACCCGAGTATATTAACCATTTTAAGAAACCCCATTACCAGAAACAGTATTCCTATATCAAAACTATACAATAGCAAAGCAGTATATTCCATACCATGCACCCAATGTAATAATGTCTATGTAGGTGAAACAGGAAGACAGATAAAAGACAGAATAGACGAACACAGAAGAAACATTAAAAACAAAGACCCCAAATCTCTAATAGTGCAACATATCAGACACACAGATCATGAATTCAATCTAGCAAACCCCAATATTCATTACACAAACATAAACAGTAAATACAAAAGATTAATACTAGAAGCATTGATATCATCAAAATATAATAGTATAAACAGACATATAGATATTCCGGAGACATATGATAGGCTGGTCCAAAAACTCAAATAGAATTTTCGGTTTTCTCTTCATCACACCATTTTGCAATTTTGCATTTAATAATATCAGCAAATTAACTAATTTACATAACAATAATTTTTCTTAAATAATAAAATATAATATTTCATAGTTAATCCTAGATATGCAAAAAATTACCTGTTATATATATGTATATACATCTTTACTTGAAATTGTAACATTTTTTCCTGTGGAAGGGCCGCTTACGCCAGAAAGCTAGAAACGTTTTTTCCAATAAAAGAAACTCATCCTTTTTGATTCTATGCGTATTACAATATATTAAAAGGATTAATCGTATTAAATCTTAAAAAAGTTTTATTCCGCTCTATCAAAATGAATATAGAAACTTATGATTCCGAAACCCGTCAATACATGAATCTTATACGAAGATATTCCATCAAACTTGCAAAGTGGAGAAAGCATCTCATATTTAATAGGATTTGTGAAGTTAACAGTTTTATTCCACCTACCCTCAGAATAAAAGATCCCGTTAAAAACCATTTTTCAAATTCAATAATAAAAGATACCCAATTTAAACTACTCAGATCTAGAACAAAAGGATGTTACTCAAACATAAGACTCATTTCAAAAACCATAAAAGATCTAATAAGTATCGTATCTCAAAGAATCCCCCCAACAGAAATGCTACAGCTTATCATCAGCACCACTAAAGAAATCAAAACCTTAAACTCCGCCATAGAGAGGAAACACCAAAAGAAACTTCAATTCTGGTCAAGAAAATACAACACCCAACTCATACCACCTGAAAACCAGCCTAATATTCTCAATTTATCCAGCTATGATCTCTCAACTGATGAAATTGACTATTTATCAAAGGGCACCAAACATAGATTCCCCACGAAAACAGATCATTATAAAATCATTGCAGGAGTCGAATCGGCCATAACTACCCTAACACATAATGAACAATCAAAAATCAGAAACTTAGTTACTACCTCCTTAGAAGAATCATCAAGAACGCCTATCTTTAAGCCCAATAATCAACATATAGCCAATTCACTAAGAAGTAAGAAAGAAATTGTAATTACAAAAGCAGATAAAGGTTCCCAAACAGTTATTATGAACACTCTAGATTATATATCAAAAATGAATGAAATCCTAAACAACTCCATAGTATTCAAACCTATAACCACCAATGAAAAATCTCAATCATCTGCCCAATATACAAAAGATCTAAGGAAGTTATACAGAGGCAATACTATTACTGCAGAAGACTTGAAATTATTCCTAGGAAACATAAAAAGTACCGCTTATATCTACGGCCAACCCAAGACCCATAAACCAGGTATTCCTATTCGCCCTATCATAGCATATCATATGTCTCCTATAGCCCCATTAGCCAAATTTCTAGCAAACTTCCTTATCCCCATTCTAAAAGACAATCCTACCACCACATCCATCACATCCATACCAAAATTTATAGAAAATATACACAGCCTCCCCCCCTCTCCTAACAGCACCATGATTTCTTTTGACGTAGTTAATATGTACCCAAGCTTACCACACCATCTAATAATAGATAACACAATAGAAATTTTAGCATTAAATAATATTCCTCCAGATACCTCCTCTAAAATTATTTCATTAATTAAGCTCAGCCTACAACACAATATATTTTCCTTCAATAGCCAATTTTATAAACAAACCAAGGGCTCCCCCATGGGAAGTCCTCTCTCATCACCTTTGGCAGAAATAGTCATGAGAAAAATAGATAAAACAATAACCAACCTGTTTCCCACAGAAATCATCATCTGGCAGAGATACATAGACGACATCTTTTGTATATCCAAATCTAACAAAATAGACTCCATTTTTACCCAACTAAAGTCCATACATACTGACATAGATTTCACCATAGAAACAGAAAACAATAACACCTTACCATTTTTAGATGTACTTATACTAAAAACGCAAAACCAATACACAACAGAAATATACCACAAGCCAAATTCCACTCCAGATTATATACATTATTCCTCTTATTGCCCCATCAGTCACAAGATAAACACCGTTAAAACCTTTCCAAACGAATATATACACATTGCACCACCCAACCCTCAAAAGATACAGAAACCCAATTTTTGATCAACAAACTCACTTCTATAGGCTATCCGAAAAACTTTATTTTAAGACATTTCTATAATCCCTCTCTCATAAGAAATAATCAGGTCTATAAATCGATATGTACAATCCCATATTCCCACAGTAGTTCCCACATAGCCAGAATTTTAAACAAACACGGTATCAGAACATATTATGAAAGCAACCCGAGTATATTAACCATTTTAAGAAACCCCATTACCAGAAACAGTATTCCTATATCAAAACTATACAATAGCAAAGCAGTATATTCCATACCATGCACCCAATGTAATAATGTCTATGTAGGTGAAACAGGAAGACAGATAAAAGACAGAATAGACGAACACAGAAGAAACATTAAAAACAAAGACCCCAAATCTCTAATAGTGCAACATATCAGACACACAGATCATGAATTCAATCTAGCAAACCCCAATATTCATTACACAAACATAAACAGTAAATACAAAAGATTAATACTAGAAGCATTGATATCATCAAAATATAATAGTATAAACAGACATATAGATATTCCGGAGACATATGATAGGCTGGTCCAAAAACTCAAATAGAATTTTCGGTTTTCTCTTCATCACACCATTTTGCAATTTTGCATTTAATAATATCAGCAAATTAACTAATTTACATAACAATAATTTTTCTTAAATAATAAAATATAATATTTCATAGTTAATCCTAGATATGCAAAAAATTACCTGTTATATATATGTATATACATCTTTACTTGAAATTGTACCATTTTTTCCTGTGGAAGGGCCGCTTACGCCCGAAAGCTAGAAACGTTTTTCCCAATAAAAGAAACTCATCCTTTTTGATTCTATGCGTATTACAATTAGTTTATATATGGAAATACAGAAACATATTTTAACTATTAAATTAGCTTTGGGAAAGAATTTTAATTTGAATAATGAACTGCATCAGTTAGCCAAGTTTTTGTATGAAAAAAAATACTCTTAACACATTAGAAGTATAGAAGTAGCCTAGTGGACATGGCATCTGCCCGGTAAGCGGAACACTGTGGGTTCGATTCCCATCACTGGACAGTTTTATTTTTCCGTTCATCATTACTCTTCACAATTCATCCTTTCATACCTCATCTCCAAGGTTAGAAATAATCGTTATTTCTCCTTAAAATAAATTTGGATTTTTCGTTGAAAATAAACACATGCGGTATAATTTTAAAATGTCGTTTTACATTAGAAGTATATCAAATATCTTTCTATTAAGCAATAAGTCTATGAGATAAAAATATATCTTATAGACATCGTATCAATTTCTATTGTTTAATTTTAACTATATCATTTTTTCGAATAGTTTTTTTTAATATGTGAAATAAAATTCAAATATTCAGATAATTATATGAAACATTTATAGAGAAAATGTAATTGACCACAGTATAGACCATAAGTATTTTGTGATCGAACTGAGTTTTACTTGGGTATTTGAATAAAGGTCAATTATCAGCAAGAAAGGTAAACGTCCATATCAAGCAAAGAGATGTTTCAAGTATCATTCGAAAATCAAGACAAATAAATCATAGAAAACAAGAGTAGAATAATAATTCCTAGATTCCACGATAGCCGTATTTATAGCAAAGATTGCATAGCCTTATCCATATATATTATCTACATGCAACTTGTACTTGAAGATAATTTGCATATAAGCAGATTTGATAAATCTTCCTTGCACATGATCAAAGAGAGAGAAAAAAACGTCTTTCATAACGAGATAGAATATACTTGCTTTCATTATTTCCACATTTCATAAAGATTGATTGGAGAATTATTTCTATTTCTTGCCTAGAAGAATTTGTAGAGGCATAGACTGGCAAACATCAAATTAAGAGCTTAGAGATCATAGTACCTTCTTGAAGACATTATATCTCATATTCCAGGAGGGTGAAATTTTCTTATATAGCTTTGAAACAGGCTTTTGGTTACTTTTATAAAGATTTTCTGCATACATATGAAGGTTGTCTTTAGAATTATAAAATCTATTCAAGAACAACAATGGAATCTCAAAGATATTTTCCTCCGAAAAACTTTACTTATATAGAGAATAGCCTTTTTCAAATATATTACAGCTTCAAGTAGAAAAACTTGACCAAAGCTCTCTATTATGTCATAATAGTTCAGGTTATTTATTCGCTGCCCAAAACCTTTTATCATCTAATACCAAATGCATATTTATTACTTGAAAGTTTGGTTTTCTATAATGCCTTGTTCGGCAATCAAGACATGGGTTAAAATACATGTTAATTGGTAAATATTTAATTCTAAGTTTTAATTTGTTTGTTGTTTAGTTTTTCTTCGGTATTATGCGCAAATATTTCGATATCGCTCCTTGTTGATTAATAAATAAATAAATAATTGTAAATAAATAATTGTTCCAATTGTTCCCGAAACTTGAACGAGAGCAACTCCATGAGTGAATACAACTATACAACACGAAGTTTTGACACCTTTTTTGTTTCTGTATCAGTACAACAAATGTGAATCTCATGTATATATGAATTAAATAATGCAACATGTTTCTGTAGATTTGTTTAATTATTTAATTATTACCTTGTTTGTTTTAAAGTTGGTCTGTTTATTAACAGTGTGATGTACTTACAGTGCAAGCACTCGCACCAGACTATCATGGCCATGTGTAGTTAGAGATATATAATAACAGCTTTTACTCGATTTCCCCGATTATAGAATGCTTTAAAAATAACATATACACACCTTTAAAACTGTTATATATTTGATAAAATGTAAATATATATGTCAATGTAAGTACATATATAATTATGCCTTATACTTTACCTCAATATTTGACTAATCTGGCTAAAATATTAACAGGATATCGAGATAAATCTGAAAGAAATATTTGCCACATTTCTAACCAAAGAAAATTAAAATTAACCAAATATTAGATTGATTAGATTACTTTTTTTGTCAGAAAATGGAGGTAATATTGCTGCATCAGTTTGATGAGAAACAAGATTCTTTCCCAAATATTCACTCTAGCATAACATGGGCGAAGCCATGTCATACATATATTGAAAAGGTTCAAAGATTACTCTTTAACTATTTTCTATTAAAACTATTAATAAAATTATGAATTTGGCAAGAAGGTGTATAGATGAAGATACAGTTTTAAATATAGGCTATTTGAAGCCTATCAAAATTAAACCAATATAAAATAACTAATTTACATATTTTGTGCTATAGAAAAAAAAAATGATGATATAATAATGAAATTTCTTATGCTACTGATAAGATCCATTGTCAGAACAATATTTGTTAGGCAAGCCTCAATCATGTAAAAACCAAGCGAAGCCGGGTATATGTTAGTTAGTATATATAAACTTCGCTTAAAGATTTTCCGCCAATGGATCCACGAAACTTCGTATTATAAACATTTTGAAGAATGATGAGACTAACTTTTGAATTAATCCTACATCATTATACGTACATCATTTTACTCTGTTATGCGAAATTCTCTTCACAACTTTGTAACTCCTCATATTCCATACCATCTATTAAGATTATCCAACTAATCTCTTTTTGAACTACCTCTCCTTTTTCAAAATTTAATGCGTATCACTTTAATAAGGTCAATAAAAGGGCTCCTGATGATTCCAAGAGTACGTGGCCTCCCTCCAGTTCCTTTTGATTTTTTCATATAGAGAGAAAGCTAATTCTCCAGACATTTTTCTTGCCTCCCTACCGTCCATTTGATCTTGATTGTATACACCAAACGTCAAAAGAATTCAATTTTCCATCATGGAAAGTTGTCTTACTCACACAACTTCGATTATTAGAATTTAAAATACCTAACTTATTTTTGGAAAAAATATGACTCTTTTATAAATTTTAAAAGAGCAAAGCCCGAAAGAAACCTTGTAAAGTTTAATTATTCAAATTTTTTTTTATATAGAGTAGAACGCGCGAACCCTTCCATGAGAGGACACTCTCGCTAGAGGGAACTTTTTTACAAAGGACATTTTTGTCTTTCACATAATGACACTTATTTAACAATTAGCAACTATTCTATAAGAAGACACATATCCCTAAAGGACACTAAGGCTTTGCAACTAGGTGTCCTTTACATAGAGGTGTTCTATGCCGTATAGAGTTATATAATTAAAGAAACCTATTGCAAACTATTTCATATAAATTTTCAAAACGTTTGGTTTGAATCAGAACTTCAGCAATCGATCCCACAGTTACCTTGGCATCCCACGATGAAGACGAGACATAATGAGATGAGGAACATCTTGCTCCAACTACTGGCTAAGGGGAATGAGAAACTTTTCGAGTGTATTCGAATGGCAGGAAACTGGCGAGGGGGTGTTATTCTGTGCCTTTCCTCGTCAGGTGTTAGTACATTGTTTCAACCAAGGGCGAGCGAGCCAGCCTGCATGCCTGCAGGAAAATGGATCAATTTCCTCAATGTGAAATTAGTTGCGACATCTAACAATCAACAAATCTTTAGCGCAATCTGAATTTAGAAACCAATAGACGAGCGTTAGTTTTGAAACGTTATCTATAATACCAACAAAAAGATCTTATGAGATTTTTGATCTTCCCAAAATAGAAAAACTTCAAGGCTTTTTAATTAAAGGATAGAGTAAATGTAGAAATGTATTAAGTATATAAATGTAGAAAGAGTTTATGTACCACAAGCGGATGTACCCGGCTTCGCCCGGGTTTTACCCGAGTAAAGGTTTGTCTAACGAACATTTGTTAAAACAATTCTCTATAAGATTATATAAAAGGGCGTACCTGGATCTGTAAAGAAAAAAAAAAACAATTTTTTTCTTAAAATATTTCGAGAGATTGCTCCCTCTTTATCAATTTATTGCAATAAATTGATAAAGAGGGAGCAATCTCTCGAAATATTTTAAGAAAAAAAAATTGTTTTTTTTTCTTTACAGATCCAGGTACGCCCTTTTATATAATCTTAATTAATGGATCGCCTTTGACTCAAAATTCTATATAAACTTATTTTAAAAAATAATAGATATAATTTGATAATTTGAAACTCGTAAATTTGAATCTCTCGATAAAGTGAACATTTTTTCCCAGTCCTGAATTTCGTCTTTCCTAATTTTCTACATTACAAAATCATCGTTTTATCTAGTCAACATTTTTTCCCAGTCCCTTGAAAAATACTCGATAAGTTGAATAAAATCAATATTAATTGGTTCCCTCAGTAATTAGAAGTTAAAGGAATAGTATCTTTGCCTTGGAATTGTATCATTATTCTTGTCTCAAATAAATTGCCGTGTCATCCTGAGATAATCTTACTTTTGATAAATGATCTTTAAGATAATAAACTTAGTGATAATAAAACTTATAGAGATAAAATACTTGTTATCATCGTCGCAATGGTGGCGCTGCTTGCGAGTTAAATCTACAAATCTGCAAATAACTCTAAGGATATTCAAGATATTCAAGAAATTATTTTTCAGAAACCTTCCCAGTACTATACTAAATAACTTCCCAAAGTTTCATGGCGTTCCAATGAGTGGTTTGGTCAGGTATAAAGGACAGACACACACATACATTCATTTATATATATATAGATGAAAGGCATATATAATCCTCCCGAAACCTCAAGATGTATTCTAGCCTGAAAATCGGCTCTTGCCACTTCACCAGCTTAAACACCTGTTTGGTATTTTCGACCGATTTCATAACCCTTCTCGTAGGATGTTATGAAATCGAAGCCGCCTCATGTGAGGGCCAAAGTCCGAAGCCATGGTATTCAGGATGGCTTTTGTCTGAGTTTTCCAAAACTGGTGTTGTAGCTCATTCTTTATCATCACTAGTAAAGTTTTTTTACCAGGGCGATAAACATAATGCATCGTTCTGATGTATAATTAAAGGGAGAGATGCTTCTCATGGTACAGGGCTTAATATGTTTGATGAAATGCTTATCTAAGAGAAGGCTTGGCGAAATTATGTCTATTTTTACTTTGTATTTTACCATTAACTATAAATATTTAATGACACACAGCGACTGATTAGAAAAATCAAAGTTTACCACATCA